GCAGAGCCAGGAGATTGAATCTTTACCCTCGGGGCTCCTCCAGAAACAACAAAAAACCACTACGTATGGCCACGTGGAATGTTCGAACGTTCACTGCGGAGGAGAGGCTGCCACTCCTCTGTCGGGAGCTGGACCGGTACTGCCTGGATTTCTGTGGTATTCAGCAGGTCCGGTGGACCGGCTCTGGCTTCTGCCAACATGGGGGGTGGATAGTCCTCTACTCGGGGCAGGAGACTGCCAAACAACAGGGAGTGGCTCTTTTGAACAAAAGAATCCTTCCCATCAACCGGAGGCGAGGAGTGGTGGTCGTGGTTACTTATACCCCCCACAAAGATGAACATCCGTGGAGGGATGCAGGCAAGGCCGATGAGTCCGATGGCTTCTATGACCTCCTGTCACAGGTGTGAGCTAAAATGGCCCCTCGGGATAGAGTCATCCTGTTGGGCTACTTCAATGCCTGAGTTGGTCATGATGCTGGCACCTGGTCTAGAGTGATCGGAAGGCATTGGCCAGATCAGCTCAATAACAATGGTAGGAGGCTGCTAAAGTTTTTGTGCAGCCCATGGGCTTGTAATTACCAACACGCTGTTCTGACATCGGCGCATCCTCACAACATCATGGATGCATGCCGGGTCCAAGCACGAACATCTGCTGAACTACGTAGTGACGGAACAGCGGATGCTGGCCCATGTCCTTGACACCAGGACCTACCGTGGAGCTGATCTGCACACTGACCATCGCCTTGTCATCTGTAAGATGGGCCTACCATTCTTCCACTCCGGTGGTAGGTGTACAACTAGGACCCCATTCAAACCCAAGGTGGCCTGGTCTCAGCTAGCTGATGAAAGTTGCAAGCGAGAATTTAATCATAGCTTGCAGCTGGGGTTGGCATCGTCCCACACTCCTCCAGATGTCGAGGGGAAATGGGCGAGGTTTAGGACTGTGGTTCAAATAGCTGCAATTGCTGCTTTGGGTATACGGTCCAGACCTCCCCAGAGACCCTGGCTGACAAAGGAGGTGTTCAGGCAGGCTGAAAAAGCGACAGGCCCACTCATCGTCTACAGCATCCCACGTCAGAGAATGGGGAGGCTTATTGCAGCCTTCGCTCGGAGGTTCGGAGAGCCGTGAGGCGCTGCAAGAATGGGTGGTGGTCGCGGCTTGCTGAGGAGATGGAGTCTGCCTCAATGGCCCGACGATCACAAATCACTATTTAACTCCATCAAAAAAGTAACCTGCAGTGCCACACCTATTACCATCATTAGGGAAAAAAACGGTGATCCAATCTCTGACCCCCAGGAATATGTTTGCAGATTTGCTGAGCATTTCTGTGAAGTCCTGGGGGAGGAGAAATCCCTAGGCATAAAAAAACATTTTGGGACAAAGTGTGGATGACCCTGATGAGGCTGCGGTGTCTCAAATATTGGAAGACGTCACTCCCTGTGAGTGGCTGGCTGAGGTGCCATCTGTTCGAGGAAGAAAAAAAGGAAATCCAGAGTCTGAGACCAGGAAAGGCACCGGGCAGAGATGATCTCCCAAGCGAAATGCTGAGGGAGGGTGGCATTTGTGCACAGACTGCCCTACATGACATCATAATAACAGTCTGGACCACTGGACGGGTTCCGCAGGATTGGAAGGGGGACCGCACAGACTGTAATAACCACAGGGGCATCTCACTCTTCAGTGTGCCAGGAAAGGTCCTGGCAAGGATTATCCAACATCGCCTGAGGAGAGGCTTGCGGAGCCCCAATGCGGTTTCAGGAAAGGGTGGTCCTGCACAGATGCCATATTTTCTGTCCGTCTGCTACAGCAGAGGTGTAAGGAATTCCAACAAGACCTACATCTCTGCTTTATTGACCTGGTCAAGGCCTATGACATCATCAGTAGGCCTGGGCTCTGGGTTATTCTTCGTGCTTTCGGAATCCCTGACCCTCTGCTCATGATCATTAAGGACCTTCATGATTTTACATATTTTTCGAACACGTAGTTCGTGAAGCCTTTTATGGCTGTACCGGAGGAATTTCCATCTGGTACAGATACAATAGGAGGCTGATCGATGCCCAGGTGTGGTCAAGGGATGGCTCCCTATTGATCAACCACATTATGTATGCCGATGCTCTGGTGATTGCTGCTCACTGCTGCTGAACCTGGAGCTTGCCACTAAGAGTTGGGGCCTTACCATCAGCCTCACCAAAACTAAGCACCTGCCTGTGTATGTTGTACCATCGGACACTCTATCCCCACAACTCCCAATTGGTGATGGGGCAGTTGTGGAGAGAGTGGAGCGTTTCCCATACCTGGGCAGCGTGCTCATGACCGGCTCCGGTTTAACAGCAAAGGTCTCACTCCAAATCAGTCAAGCGTCATTATCTTTTCATCGGTTGCATAACGCTGTGTGGAAGCTACCTGATCTGTCGCTCCGCATGAAGCTTCAGGTCTTCTCGGCCACAGTCATTCCCTCCCTTCTCTATGCTTGCGAAATGTGGACCCCCCTAATGGAACATCTTTGCCGGTTAGAAACATTTAGGCTGGCCTGCCTACGATCCATCCTGGGTTTAACCAGGCTGGATTGTGTGAGGAGCTCACAAATCTTTGAAAGATCTGGGCAAAGTCCCATCGATGAGCTCCTCCGGCAGGCAAGGCTGCGTTGTCTGGGTCATGTATCCCGCATGCTCAGTCACCACATGTCTAAACAGCTTTTGTTCGGCCAGATAGAGGGGGCTAAACGGGCATGGCACGGACTAGAGAAGAGATGGAGTGATGTGGTATAGGAGGATGTATACTGAGTGGACTTGCCAATGACTGGTACCAGCGGTGTCAAGGTCGACCTCTGTGGACGAGGCTCGTGAAGGACGCTGCTGGGTAGTTGGAAGCAGTCGCCCTCCAACAACAAAGTTGAGCGGAGGAGCGACGCTCACAACAACAAGCGGACCACCAGGTGACTAAAGCACAGCAAGTTGACACAGTAGGGAGCACAGGTAATGCATCAGCCAGTTATCTCAGTCAGTCAACCCGTGGCACCTGGGTCTGCCCTGTGACCTCCTGTCAGCGGGCGTTCGACACTTCACGTGGCCTCAAGGTGCACATGGCCTGGCACAAGCATCGTGGTGATGTCACCGTCACTTAGTGGCGAATGGCGGGTATTCGTATATTGCATATATATGTGTGTTTATTCTACACATACTATACAGTATCAAAACCCATAAATGCAGACGTGTGTGTTTTGCCTACGAATAATTGTGAGGCTTTTTTTGGATAACGTGCCTCCTTTGCCGTGCTGGGAACCCAGTGTAACCATGTTAGGCTGCCCAGATTCAATCCCGGGATATCAATGGTGGTGCCGCTGGCTCGATGCTCCTGACTGCTGAGCCAACTGGCCACCTCCAACTCAAAACTGTTGTAACATCAATAATAATACTGATGATACATCAAGACGAATCCAACAATAACATTTGCCATGCTAATATTTTGGTCTGGAGAGCCAGGAGGCCGATGATTAAATGTACGCCAATGACAAATTATGAAAAAGACCAATAAATTTCAGCTACCATTGTGCTTTGGCCTCGATAGACTGTGAAAGGGAATTTAGACTTAAAAACTTAGAAATAGATTCAGTCATCCAGGCTCTCAAAAAGGCGCAAAGTAAGAAATATTTAGAAACGGCAAAATATGTTGACAAAAATTGACCAGCCGCACTACCACGAGCAAAGTATCAATATGCTGATTGGAATGGGAGTCAGACAAGGTGACATGCTGTCGCCAAGCTGGATTTGAGAAACAAAGCTTACATATTAATAGGAGCAACACAAACATTGATGGTATACGGAGACAAGAGGGGAGTTCGGATGATATATGCTGACCGTGTATCTCTCTCTTTACTGTGTATCTCTTTCATCTCTTTAGAACTGCTTTTTGTTTTTAGTTTGTCCCTACCCCCGCACCTACATTTAACACGGTTGGCCTACGTACGGTGCGAAAGAAGTTCGACCCACGTACATAACTCTTTGGTCATCTTTTTTTATTCAAACGCCTCTTGTTGCAGACGTTTGTGATTCAAACCCGGCAAGACACCTTGGTTAACACCGAAGGTGTATTCACCATGAAACATTATTCTGCTTCACAGTGGACAATAAAGATCCCATGATATCGTTCGAAAAGAGTCGGCTAATGTGTGCCGGGCGTCTTTGTCCAAATAAATTTATTTTTAAATACCTTCAAATTACTCAATTGGGAGTACACTTCCGACTGTGACTCTTCGCAGACTTTGTCCGTGGCACATAGCGCCTTGGTGGTAGGCTTGTGCTGTAAGAATGATGCTAATACCAAATGTACTAAATGATTAGCTGTAATGATTACAACTCATTGCCAATGGTGTAGAAGTGCAAAAGTATGAAAAAAAACTGCTTTAGAAAAAAAAAGTTAGGCTAACGTGTTTGGTAGTGGGCCTTATTCTGTCATTGCATGAAGTGGCAGCCTGGTCTATATAGGAGGGGCTTATTTTTTTTATCAGGCAGTGTTAAACAAAAGGTGGTGAGGTGTTTTTTTATCATCCATTTATGAAGGAAATATTAATGACATGGACATCTGCTGCCAGGAAACATTAAGAACAGGGACACTCAACACTGCGTACAATTGGCTATCAGTTAATACATTATTTACTGTATCAGAAGCTTTTTGCCTTGGACTGGAAAAATTGTGTTGTGGTCAGAGCACACAAAAACAGCGGAGCAGATGCTGGTCATTCCTCCGGTTAATGAGATGCATGGTTCTTTCCAGTGGTGAGGAGGTGCCTAGTTGCATATGAATCGTAAATCATGGAAATGTGTGTCCATTAAACACTACAGAGCACCTCATTACTCAGGTAAGGAAGGGTATGCTGTGCTATTATGCTCATAGGCTGCCATAGGCAATTGTATATTCACCCATGTATCATTACACGCACCTTTAACCAATGTGGACTCTGTGTTAAAGCCAACTTTGATTGAATTATATTTCTTTTTCAGGTCCGTTTTTGTCAATAGACTACGCATCTGATGGGGAATTGCTTGAGTTGCCAACGATGCTGTCCCGGGTAAGTGTTCTGATTGTGATTTTTATATTGTTTCATTATTATTTTGGCAAAGATGATTTATAAAATACATAAACGGCGAGTGACTCCCTCATACAGAAGGGATTTGTTAAAGTCGAGGAACGATTAAAATCTGAAAAGAACCTATTTATATGCACATTGTATTACAATTCAAATGAAATATGTTATACAAACTAACGTTACTGTCTATTCAATTAAAACATCTACATTTAAGTGTACTGACTATTTTATACTTTGACTATTAAAGCGACGTATTCTCTTCGTTTAATATAAAAGAAATGATGCAGTAATATGCTACATCCATCATCGTACAGTGCAAAACAAGTTCAACATACACACACCCATCCATCTCTAAAACGTTCATGTGCAATATTCCATTTACAGAAAGTGAACGTATCGTGCAGGGTTAATATCAGCCGGGCCTCTTTGGGGATTAGCGACCCAGAAAATATTTCTGCACCCGGCACACCGCATCATCATAGCTCCTTGATATGCTGATGTGTCACATGCCACCTGGAAAATGTTTAAGGAGTGCTTAAGCCTGGCACATTATGCATTTCAGCAAGTGAACAATGTTGTATGTTTTGTTGCCATTGTCTTTGAGCTGTACGCATTTTGGCGTCATCTGGTCGAGCACCAATTGAGATGAGGCTCAAAAGAAAGCTGTCTCTGGTGTGGACCAATCAGTTTCAAGGACAATGCATATATCAGAGTGTGTTAATGCAGACATGAATCCTTGTAAAAAGGTTTGAGTTTTGTTGCCAGAAAAGAGGGGGAAAATCCTATTATTATAATGTTGTATGACTTTTATTTTTACTCATATTTATCTGGAGCCAAACTTTGCAGCGTTGTTAAGTTCTTCAATCACGCCCTGTACACATATCCGCTACCTTGTTGTCTGCGGCACGAAAATAATTGGTGGCAAGTCGCTTTATTTGTGCCCTTATTAATCCTAGTATATGTGATTACCCCAACAAAAATCCCATAATTCATTGGCGATTGACCTCCTATTATACGTGCTGTTTGTCATGGCTAAGCAGAGTATAAACAGGCATAACGCGTGGATCATATGATCCGCATATCTGTGTGAATAAGAGACGTTCTGTAGTCAATGTTCTATCGGTTGTTATAATGGCAATGTTCATCAGTAAAATCTGAGAAATTTAGGATTTTCTATATTTATCTTTACGCATTTATTTCTCGAATCTCATTTTTGGGAAACATTCTTCACGTGAACTGCGAATAACTTTGGTAAAAGTGCATCGCCTTGTCTGGTTTCTTTTTTAAATCCTTTATATTAAGTTCACTTGCTTGCTTGCTTGCGTGCTTGCGTGCTTGTTTGCTTGCTTACGACCGTGCAAATCTTTCGGTCGTTTTTAACCCACTTCCCGTGATCCAATCGAGCTGACATTTTGCGCACAGACTCGTTGTGCGTGACAATTTATTTTCGTGAAATTTTTTTCCCAAAATTTTCAACATTTTAGGAAAAAAATAATTATATTTAATTACCAATTGCTTAATGGTGGCAGGCAATCATCTGACCCATAGGTGGCAGCCATCTCAAGCCAGAGGACGAGAGGACTCTAGCCGCCCGTTTCAAAGACCAATGTGGGCTGGGTTGTGGCCCATTGGACACGCATATAAAGGATTTATAGTGAAAAACTTTGTTTTTACGGGTTAATTTTTTTACTTTCCTCGTGCAATATCGGTGTACTTCTTTCATTTCACGAGGAAAACAAAAGTCATGAATAAATAAATACATTCTCAACTATTTAAGATATATCGGAGGGACACAGAGCTGTAAAACACATCAAAGAATAAGTACATGGGGAAAGTTATTGAAGGTGGACCGAAATCAAATTGGTGAAATAAAGAGGCTGATGACAGCAGGATGGAGTTCTTTTGGAAAGTTGAACTTAACAATGAATGCGGCGTACAAATGTGCATAATGCAGAACGTGTTTGTATGAACTTCTTTCGCACCATACGTAGCCGACAAATACTAATCGTACGTTACCTCCTGCGATAGATGTCAGAAGCGTGGAGGAGACGCGTCCGTTTGTGTGCAGATACCAAAGCAGGGACACCTGGGGTGAGATACAATCAGCAGGGTAGAGATTTCTTATTGGCCTAAGAAACAGTCAGTGGGCGGTCGGTAGCAACGTGCCACTTTCAAAGGGACGTCCGAAGGTCAAGACCAGCAATGGAGCGGCAGCTAAAGGAGGTTGCGTCTGGTGTGGAGATGGAGCACTGCGGTCATCTTGTGTGCTGCAGCTCTGTGGATTGATAACATTGAGAGACTGTGATAAATGGCGGTGGATTTGAGTGGCATTGCGTGGAATCAAGCGGTGGATGAACCGTGGCTGATTCTAATGATTAAGATTACAAGCCTTACAGCAAATGGTGACTTCGTATAAATGGACACTGTAGTCATAAACGGATACCTTGGTTTAAATTAATTAAAGATAGATATCTGATAATTAATTTGATTAAATAATAGTAAACATTAACCTTTCTTTAATATTGAGATGGAATGTATTAGACTGATTATATTGCAAAAGTATAATGTTCCAGTGACTTCACGTTCTTATTCCCAGATGAATGAGCAATGTTGATGCTGTCTATCAATAATAACTTTGACACGGCTGCTCTGTCGAGTAATTGAAAGATGTTGCCATTCTGATTTTAACTTGAGAACCAAAAGATGAGCAAGAACGCCAACATCAACACAAATATCCTTTCAAAAGACTTGTTTGTGTTTGGGAGGGTATCTGACCTGACTTGGAAAGCAAATATGTTGAGCAGTATTTTTTTTTGGTTGTGTCTGGCTCACAAGAGACATCTATTGATGGGTGACAGAATAATATTTGAGAAGAAAAAAGTAACCTCCTCATGCTGCCATGGTATTGCATTAATTAATTGAAAGATGGCGTGATTTCATCATCAATACTTTTTTTTCAAATAGGTTGCTGGCCATGGTAGAATGATCAGCGCAATGAACTTAAAATCTAGAAGTCTCCAGTTTGATATCCCAGCGCTGCAGTTGAAACAACATTGCAAGTTAATTCAATCCACACTGCTTCTGTCCACCCAGAAGTATAAATGGGTCCACCAGAGTTAATCTGTCGTCAGGTCACGTGTGGTGGAGTGAAGTGTGGGATCTCCGAACTTTTCCAAAACATCTCGCGAGCATGGACAAGGAGACTGAATGCTCTCTAGAGGGGCTCTCTAGGACGTCCTCAAGTGGAGGCCCTTCTGCCAGCAGTGGCACGAGCGAGTGATGGCCCCTGTCTACACACACTGTCTCCGTGTGGACGTGGCTGGGGAGAGGGCAGCGAGGCACAAAAGGCATCACCAAAGCTGGTCGTTACATAGTGTATGTGTCCTTAAACAATTTATGCACATATAAATTCAACGCTGTGAAATTTGAACACCTTACAACCCATATGCATATTTTCCAACCCGACTGATTTCAGTGAGAGGCTGCCAATTTTAAAACTCTTTTACCACATAATGCTTTTCGAACTTAATCACACCATACTATTTGAAATTTTTTTTTACATAATTATAGCTTTTGAAGGGTCAAAGTGATTTCATGCTCCAATGAGCATTGAGGCATTGGTGTTCATCCCTGAGCCAAGTGGTGAAAATTCCATTCTTATGGTGGGGGTGAGTTTATCCATATGACAACCACTGTTGACTTCCCCACAATGTGTTACGTATTTTATCGGTTCCAGAATGATTATGGGCAGAATCAAACCCCAACCAGGATTGACCCTATACCTTTCCGGTTGTAGGCCACTCACTCTACCGCTGAGCCACCTGTCCATTTAAAACTTTGGCAGCCGACTGCTGAAATCGTCAGGCGTACCAAGTGCACAATTGCCTTCACTCATTTTTTGCATTTTACAAGTTCCAGTACCAATTAATTTGCGTCTTCAGTGAAACTCTTCCATGGATTATTACATCACTATGTGTGGCTGAATTATTGAACGTATCACATTCGAGGGCGGTTGGCACTGATACCAAATGTAAAAACAATTTACGTTGGCACCGTAGTTTGCAAGGATTTGGCACATGCAGAGGATGTGATGTTCTCGTTCCAGCCAATAAAAGCCTTAAAACAAAAAGATGGTGTATGCGGTGCACACGTGGGCATTTTCTTTTAAATATAGAAACGTTGTGCAGCAAAATGTCTCGTGGGTGAGATAGTGGTGGGAGCCCCTTAGAACGGCGCACATTATTGACGGCGGGAATCGATGTGATATTCCTCCGAATCGCTCTCAAACACTGCGAGTTAAAGTAGAGCGGAGTGGCTCTGCCGTGTTCGTGGTGCTGCTATCGCGTGGACAGACAGAGGTGCCCCCGCTAAATTCCCAACAACGGCGAACGCAAACGACGAGTGAACTCTCCTATGGGTCTTGGCCACTCCACCTTTGTCAGACGTCACTAATTCTTGCAAGGAATCCTCGTAAAACAACCCCATCCGGGGGATTGACAAGAATCTGGACAAATGTATTATTATTGGGTACTCGAGGCTCTCACTCGTTTGATGCCATATTGATTTTTTTGTGTGCGTCAGTAAACAATATTCATCACCGGACACATTGCAAATACATGGCGGTCAATTTATAGATACCCCACGAAAACAATTGGGAAATGTTTTTGTTCTGGAGAAAATTGGACTTAATTGCAAAGCCTCTACATTTTCTCCAACAAATTTCAATGCACTCGTTAAATATAATTTAACACTGTCCTCTGTAAGACACAGGTCAATTTCGTTCACAATATAGCATTAACTCACCTGTTGAGAAAAAGTAGGAGGTCAATTATAACTCAGTGGGGCATCTATGAATATATCACCCAGCATACAGTACAGCACTGGTAGTGGCTGTAGTTGTTGCTCTGGAAACCAGGCGATTGTGGATCCATGTTCGGTCAACGGGTTGATGATGATGACATTGGTCGTGATTTCTCACTTGA